GTGTTGTACAGCTACTAAATCCCCGACCGTGTAAGCGTAAAGCCTGTCCTGGACACGCCTTGAAATCCTGGTTGGGAGCAAGGAATTCACTAGCAGGTTTTCGCTTAGTGGGAGAACGTCGGACGCGAAGGCCGTCAACTTATTGACGTTAAACAATAAAGTACAGCGACTGCGTTTACAATGACTATTATCTGCCTGATAACCTGGATTTTGGCCAGGTCCGCTATAATATTTCTACATTAACGCTCTTCCGGACCCACGTCTTGACCAGGTGGCTACACTCATTGCGTGATTAAAGTATTTCGTTCACATAAGTTTAGATAAAAGTCACATAAATGTTCACAGCTAGCCCTCCTGTCCGGAGGATAGCGTGTCATTTTATGTGAACGGAGTACTTTATTCACGGGATCACTATATTTACCTGGTTTCTAGTGCGGTGTAGAAAAGCGTTAATGTGGACAGCTTTTATAGCGCATCCGGCAAAAATGCAGGTCGTACGGCAGATAATGGCCACGGCATACTCAGTCATCGTACGTTATTCTTCAAAGTCCACATATACGATATTAACAATTTATGTAGCATACACTGTATCGAAACAAGAGATACCACTCGATGAAATCACCCAGCATTATCAACGAACAATAGATTGCTAGGCCTAAACTTACATGTCTGGATACTACCGGCCAAGCTGAAAATGGCTTAGTGGATTAGCAAAGGGCTGATTGGTTCATGCTTCTGTCGCGAGAGCGCTAAATGCCGAAGTGCAACGACCACGATATTGTCTCATTCGAAAATGGTGTACAGCAGGTAAATCTTTAACCCTCTTGTCGGTCCTGGACATACATTGCGACAGCATACAGTTCGAACCAGAATTCGTGCAAAATGCCGACATATGCGAAAGCTTGATACCCTTTCGCTAATCGGCATTCACTCAGGTTGTGATACTGATAATCGTGCAGTCTATTCTGAAGTTATTGCAGTAACGATAGGATGCGAGATTTTTAATGAGCTAAGTTCTGACCACTTATAAAACCTATGGACTGTAAAAAGTAACTACTTAAATAGTATGCGTATTTATTATTGATTTTGACTGCCACAATAAGTGTTTTAATGTTTGAAGTCGGGTTAACGTTATGGGTATGGTAAACTGAGAATAAATCTTTGTTTTATAGTAACATTTATCATACAAAAATAGATACCCTTACCGGAAGTCTCTGCGGGATCCTCGGCAGTTTCGGAGGCGTCTTTCTATACCCGTTCCTTAGCATCTTGTAAAAGTGAGTAAACAAAATGAACATTTCGCTTTGCGATTAAATGTTATTAAACATCTTGGAACGAACACATGCTGTATCATTTCTATACATACAAAACTACTCCCTGTGGGAAAATGATTGCTTTCGATGAAATTCACTATAACAGTTGCACAAAGTATGTTCGGCTTGCCCATGTTGTCCATTTGTATGAGATTGTGTTCTTAGTAATTAGTTGATACCAAATGAAGCCCATCAGGTCGCCTAGTCAACTCCTCTAAAGGCCAATGGATTCTAGTACTAGAACAATACGGCTAGTGCATCCAGCGTTGTGCTGTCAGGGGACGCCAGTACAGGCGCTCTTTCTTTCGTGGCCGACGCCGATTTCAGATGCTGCTCATATGCTGCTCCCAACCCCTGAGGACAGTCTCTTCCCCAGCCCCAGTGACAATACCACACCGTCCTCGCAGTGCGGGCGGTGTGGGAACGATAATGAGTAGCCAAATAACATAAATCTTGTTTTCCTCACATACTATGTCACAGCACAAGCCCGATGAATAATTACCGAAAAAGCATCTGCTTGTAGACTTTATTTTTCTTGTTTTACATGGAAGTATTTGCAGACCATAATTAGTAGTACTCAGCCCTACCTAAACTATCAGAATGTGCTAATGAAACGGTACGGATGCACGTCGCTCGTATCAGAGGGAGCATGGATAACCGATAAAATTGAATGTGCACCAATAATAAACTCAAAGGTCAGAAAAATGTCAGTTCTCCGACTTGCGCATTACTCTGTTTGTCCTATCAGAAGGACTGTGAGTAAAACATCATCCGGATGTCCAGGTAGAACGGGACGAGTGAGTCCCTTAACCAATCGGTGGGCATCAATCCACCAGATCGAAACTGGCAAGACTAGGAGCCCGTGGATCAATGGGTTAGAACGTTTAGCTTCTAGTTCACATGTCGGAATGTCCAAATCCTGGGTCTGTGGTTATGCAGATGCGCACGATTAGATGAGTTGCATGTCAAAGAACTGAATATGAGTTTCTACAAGCTCTGAAACATCTTTTCGGAGGATATGAATGCTGGCTAGTGGGAACACCTTAAACGAAATCTAGTCTGCTGTCCTAGGATGTTTTGGTTCACTCGCTTGAAGCATGCATTTTTCTGAAGCGATGGCATTTGTAAACTAATGGCTTACAGTAAAGACACAGTCACGCCAGCTAGTCCCACCAGGGCCTAGACGCCTGAATACAATGAGTACTAGAAAATAATCCAACCGGGGGGATACTGTTGGTCCGCATCCGCGCCGATTTCTGACGCCATCTCCGTGGATGCATTCAATGTGGAATACAAAACATCCAACAACTTGATCAAGCGAAGGGTCTTTCGATTTTATTATCTGAGGCCCTACGGTTACCTCCGGTCTGTGTGCGATTCCAACTCCAAGTTGTGCGAGAAGGCGGCTGACAGCCTCCGAGACGCCAGTACGTCAGTACGGCATCGCTCGCCAAACTTACGGGTCGGCGAGAGACTTTGGTAGCCACCTCGTTTGCGCAAACACCGGTTGACGAAAGTGCGAGGGTAGCCATTTTCTCTGAGCATCCGCCGAAGGTATTTTACTTCGGCAACTTTGTCTTCTATTTTGCTGCTGTGCGTCTCAACACAGTGAGAGAGCGTCCTTACGCAACTGCGTTTGTGGCTGACTGGGTGTTTGCTGTTGTATTTCAGTACTTGCATCACGTTTGTCGCTTTCCTGAATACTTTTGTCCTTAGGCCACCACAATCTTTGCGACAGAGGAAGGCACTTAGGAAGGCCAGGTGGTTGTTCTCTTCCTCCTCCATCGTAAATTGAATTTCCGAAAAACGCTGTTGAGACGACTCTCAAAGGTGAGTACCTGAACCCGATTAATGACAACAAAAGTGTTATCCACATACTGCGCCCAGAATGTAGGTCTGTGGCGTTGGAAGACAAGCAATTCCAGCCGTTGTAGGAACGCCTCAGCTATGATTCATCGCAGTGTATGGCCTCAAGCAACTGTCGGCCTTTTTTTGGGGCAGAAGACTATAACAATGCGCGTTTTGTCCCATGGGAAGGTGTGTCATGTATCAAAGATATGCACAGCCACTTACGCTAAATGCTCGCATATATTCACCGTCGGTAGCCGCCGCAGGATGGGTGTGTGTGGAGACGGACCTTCCTGTCTGGCCGCAGTATACGGTATCACACACTTCGCATGTAAAGTACTTTTTATTATTGAGATAGTCAACTCTGTCCTCAGGGTAAACAAGTTAGGCATGTAAAGTAGCCGACGGTTTCTGCGCCATATTTATTTCGTATTTCCGCAAGTGCCTTTCAGAGAGTTCAGATGCATGTCTCATATTAAGAAGGATTCGCCAACTCTACTGACTTACGACGAATTGTGAAACATCCATTTAGAACTCTAGAACGTTTCTACAGACACTTGGAGGAATCACAATCTTCGATGATAAGACAACGGTCTCCCTCGACGTCCTTTCATTGTTTACCTCCATACCGCTCGAAGTGGCACGGCAGTACAAATGGATGTCTAAAAACTTAAGAAACGAAGGTTACTGCAGCTGCCTTGTTTGAACTCGTAGCCCTTTGTTTACAAACCCATTTTTCATTTGACCAATAATACTATCAACAGTTTAAATAAGATCTAATGTGGTCACCCATATCTGGGTTCCTTGCCAATGTAACATTACAAAAGAGGGAATTATCGGCTCTTCCAATAGTTGTCTCTAACTTGTGGACACAATATGTAGACGACACATGGCTTCTCTTCAAAAAGGACAAACTTGAAACGCTGCAAAATCCTATTAACTCAATCATTCCTGAAATCTTATTTACGCTCGAGAAGAAGGTTAACAATAAACTCAAATTTACGGATGTTCTCGTGCAGTGAAATATTGACGGAACATTAAAACCAACCAGGTACTACAAGGACACACATGTGGAGCTTATTTTTAACTTTCAGAGCAGCACCCTATCTCTAAAAAAAGGAGTGTCGTAAACAGCGTGCTACACCGAGCGAAGACATACTGCTCTGACAAAGGAACCTACTGAATTGAAATAAATTACTTTTATTTGATTTGCTTCACTGCAGTGGTTACCCCAGAGACTTTGGACACTGATACACGAAAAGACAAATATCCAGAGTAAAGAAACTACATAGTCCTACTCAGTCGCCAAAAATAAATACCTGGTAAATCCTTCCTTAAATAAGCAATGTATTTGCACTCGCTGAAAAGCACTTGCGGAAATATCACATAAACGTGGTGCACAAACCCACGGTTACTCGAAGTACATAAAGAACTTCTTTTCTTTAAACATATATAAAATATGCTAATGAAAGTGTCTATGATTTGGTGTGTTTAAGACATGCCGCTCGAAAACTGAGCTTGCTGTAGCAATTTTCAGTGTGAACACAATTAAATTTATCACAAAAATTCTACTCTCTTAGTTTATTTTGCGAGATGGGAAACGATTTGAATGTTTGCTAAGCTTGAAAGGGGCGATTCACCTATGTACAGAACCAAACGGATGGTTTGTTACTACTTAATATTTATGAGACACCAAGGAGTGCAAATATACCGTAAGGGGCTTAGTTCAAGTCGTCAGGTCATTTGGTCCTATCCTATTTCCCAGTCGAGATTAATCAGCTGAAAGTCTTTCATTCATTTATATCGAATATCACGGAAATGCGAAACCGTACGGGTTCTGGATTTGATCCAGTAGGAATTAATTACTTCCATTTTCGTAAACATCCCAACGCCTTTCCATCGAGTTTTCTCCATCAACAAATCGATTTTTCTTTTTGCACATCCATTATTTCATCGTGCCTTCCATAACGGCCTCGTATAAAAATGTCAATGAATTTGCAGGAAAAATTATGTCCGTCTTGTTGGAATCCCCTTGGCTAACCTATGTCCTCGGGTTGGCTGTATAGCAAGTGCGTCCGCTAACGAAACAGCCAATTAACCTGGCGGTGGTGGTGGCAGCCAATGGGTTGCAAGCGACATAATTGTATATAAAGAGGGAAGGGTTTCAATGTATAATCAACCCAGGTGATCCAAACTACGATCATGGCAATGCTTTCGTCTACCATACTTCAGGCCGCTCTGTTTTTCTACGTCATTATTTCAGGTAGACTTTTTTTTACAAATGAAGCTTTGCAGTTCTATTCTTTTAACTCTCAACATGAAAGTTGTATAGACACATATACGTTTGTGTGCACTTACCATATACTTTCAAGCAAAATAGCTAATATACACACTTGACCAGCAGTGGCACCTGGTGGAATTTATAAAGCCTGTTTTGCGTGATTACTCCTTCTTTCAGCACGCGCCGACGGACCACCGGTCTATAAAATATGCAAAAATGAGAACGAGGATTGCGTGGCTGTGACTTACAACCTTGGAGATCCCAGCAAAGAACGTGTCTGTCGTGAGGCCTGTGGAATGACAGGAGGTTTGTGCCTTCATAATGTACTGTTTCCTTCTTTATGTAACATCTGCCCGTAAGAGCTTTGCTACCTTACATATTGATTCCCAGAATAGTACTCATTGTGCGCACTGAACTTCTTTTTTGCCCTCCAGAGGAACTTAATACGAAATGGACAGTATACAACTGCAAAGGACATGAGAAAGAGTGCGAGGCCTACGATCTTGGTGCAAAAGGTGACTTCGACAATTACTTTGCTAGGCACGTTGCGTGCGTTGGAACTTGCGCCTTTCTCAAAAAAGGTATAGTTGTGCATCTCAATGCAATCTTCCTTGCAATTTTATTTTATTGGCTCTGCATTTATTCTTCAACGCTTTGGGGAACTTTTCTAACTTGATTTGATCTTTCAAGTTAGACTAAGTCATGCATTTTGTACAACTACTTGTTTGGTTTCAGCTCAATATGAGTTCACGGGCGACCTTAAATTGTGTCCGCTAAGACATAGTTATTGTATGACTGCACCGAGATTAAATGGGACATTCGATGCCTACATGCAGTGCGCTTACAGCTGTGGTGGTTATGGAGACTGTAAGTTATCATGCTCCTGCTAAAATAGCTTTTTATTATTTTCCTTATTTTGGGCTTGCTACTCTCCATGTAATGCTTCTATTTTACTTTTGAAGTGGCACAAACCCAACACAATTACAATCTCCTCTGCACTGCCAACAACACCTGCCAGTACGGCAGTTACTTCAGCCTGCCAAATGTACCAGGCCCATTCGTCCGCTTGTTCTCTTGTTTGAGCATGTGCTTGATACAAGGTGATAATTGACCTTTATTATATGCAATATAGTATGCAACTTAGTTGCAAAGTTCGTACAATATATGCAATTTTGCGATGTTAGTCTTTCTACCACATCATTTTACTCCATAGTGATATGAACTACTACTACTACTACTACTGAAACATATCACGTGACAGTTTAAACGCGGTTTCTCTTGAGATGCACCGTTTACCCCAAAGCACTGTGAATGCGCACCTGGTTGACCTACTCGGGTATTACTTTATAGTAATGGTTGACTTGCACCTCATCTACCACATTCTCTCAAACCTCATTCACATCTCCCTGCATGCTACAGAACATTCATTTACTACATACTTCCTCTAAAAATGCTGTAGCTTGAAGAAAACTTCGAATTCCAAAGAATAGGTTTACATTTATATGGTTATAAAATGTGTAACTGCATTATTGCCATCTTACTAATACGGACTATTTTAGATGAATTTTAGATGACGACGGCACAGTGGTTACGGATGGATATGGTTCCAAATGTTTCATTATTGTTGGGGTTTGACATTTTACAGGAAAAAGGAAATAATATAATTTCTCGTTGATAACTATGACCCACTTGAATTCTTGAAGGATTGAAAGGGTGGGATTAAGGTAATGCAAAAAGCGTGCAATATCCATGAGGAAGGAGTTGGTGGAACATATGAGCTTTGCAAATTGTCGATTTATTCCGCATGCAGCTAGACCGTGTCATGAATGCTTCCAGATTAATCGAGGAGGTTGGCGTTGTGGTTGTGTAAAACAAAAAAGTCGTGCCTACAGCAAGATCTGAAGCCATTTGTGCGGACAGGTAAATGTGCACGCTTTTAGATGAAACAGTGATACAGAAGTTACGCGCACACAGCGAATTTGAGCTACACATTTATTTTCACCTCAAACTCCCTTAATGTCAGATACAGCGAAATAAGGCAAACAAATATGTGTATTATCGCCTAAACCAAAGAGACACGCACTCCCCTCAACCAGGTTGTCAATATGTAGCAGCATCAGTGAAAACACAAAATGCTTAGTCAGTTAGTGGGTAAATAGTTCAATTATGATGCGTTCTGTGTTGAAGGGGAAAATATTTTGGAGACCCCTGTAAGCACTGCCACCTTTGGATAGATAGATCAGTAGTGAGTGTTTCTATATTGAAGGGGAAATATTTTGCAAACCATGTAAGCACTTTGATTTGCATTCACTGCAAGCAAAAACCAAATTGTAAATGGCCTACCAAGTAGGAAAGGGGATCGACAAAAGTTTACAAAAATGCGCGTGTAACAATCTAGTTTCTGGCTCACCACTGCAAATGAACACTCCAGAATTCTGTAATATGGAACCGATGGTAATAGAGATTATCCAGATGGGCCATAGCAGGGGCAATTTGTCATGTTTAAAGTGTTTAGCTTTCCAACTTTGGAATTAGTACATAAAAGTGCTATACAAATCTAATGTATATCAATGAATAACACGCGCGATAATTTAAAAATGAACACTAACAGATATAATGCTGCTAGCACGAACCCCGCGCAGTCCCATCAAAAATAGAAACTGCAAGGCCCAGACCGGACAGCAGAATGTATGCATACGCGTTAATTTATAGAGCAAATAAAAAGGCGGATCGGCTAGCATTCAAAGTTATTTGCAAAGGAATTTATTTAAATATGGCTTGACAGACTCACTGAGTCTATTTCTATTTGATGTTGCAGACGTATATCCAATGAAACCTGAAGTGTAAGGCAATTATGAAGCAACAGCTTCGGCAGGAGATAATACAGTAGGCTCTGACGATGAATACGAGGATGGTTTTGAAGCGTCAGCCTAAATATAACGTGGTCTCATGAATCACCCCATCTTCTTTTTCCTCTTCTGGGAATAATGAAAGCAATATTATACCTGGACCTCGAAATACTTCTCTACATAAAGTCATTTGGAGCTAAATCTCAAGGATTATTTATGTTTGAATACCGATAGGTAATTAAAGGTTACTAATTAACTTCGTGAAGGGTGCGTAAAATAAGCAATAGGTATCCGAGCAGCCATATCGGCTAACGAACACTGGACAGAATTTATAATTGCCAAAGGTCATCGTGGCTGGCAGTGGATGGTGAAATCTAATACAGTAGTCGCCGGCTATTAAGCCCACCTCAGGCCTAGACCAAATTAGGCTTAATAAGCGGCTAGGCTTATTAACCGTGGGCTTAATACAGTAGTCGCCGGCTCTTTGCCCATTTCGGGCCCAGACCAAATTGGGCTTAATAGGCGGCTGAGCTTATTAACCGTGGGCTTAAGAGCCGGCGACCACTGTATGTGGATGGAGTGCGTTCTACCTTCGTGGACAGAAACACAAGGCATGCCAAAGTGAGAAAAATGATTTAGTTCTAGGAAATAGCTAGGAAGTTATGCAAAGTAGACGAAGTGAGCCCAAAAATAGATGTTTACCCATATGCGCGACAGGCGGCCCACTCTATAAAAGTTTTGCTTACTACGAACAGAAGAAATTGCAATTAGATAGATTTCATAAGTTAGCTTTTTAACAGGTTTCACTTTATCACCCTCGAATGCGCTAGACAATTGTAGACGGCGCACTGCATTTGAACAATGTAACATCCACAAAAGCGCGTCCTATGGACGGTATCACCGACGATGACACGCCGCATTTGTAGGTAGAGGATCACAGACAGATACAGTAGGGGAAAATGCGATTCCAAGGCAGAAAGACAAACGAAGTAGGAACGTCCGCCGGGAGAGCTTTATTCTGTGGGCTTGATGTTTCGGATGGTTGTTTCCTCTGTAAATCTTCAGAGACTTTACCTCCAGGCTCATAACGCGAGTCATAGGTCGCTCTTTATCATGCGCGTAGTCTACCAATACGGGTTGTGCCGCTGCGTCTGGCTCCCAACTCACTGTCACCTATGTCACCGTCAATCCCGCCACTGACCACCTATGGTGCCGTGTCGGCCACGTACAACAGAGCTACGCTTTCAGAAATCTACCACACGTGTATTTCAGCTG